AAAGATTTATTTTATATTTTAGAATTAATGCCTCGTCGTGTTATTAAATATATAGCAAAAGTACCAAGCCAATGTCCACCTTCATAATGACTTTCATTAATAGCTATTAACCCTGCTTGTGCATTTCTTTTACTTAATTGATCTAATTGATTTCGTTGTTCACTATTAAATGGTAATGCTTCAATAATTCCTTCTAACATCCATGCTCGACTAAGACATAGACCAGCTAGATGAATTAATTTCGGATCAGTTGGATCGGCAATTGATGGTGGTTCAAGACTTGATGATAAATTATTAACAGGTAAAAATTCATTAAACCAATGAATAAATTCTTGATTATTTTTCTGCATAACACGTCGCATCAAATCAGCTTCGGCAAGTCCAGCTGATAGAAAATCTTCACCTGATGGTTCATAATTAAATGGATAGAGTTTATCGGAAGAAAAGAATCTTAATGATTGTTCTTCAATAATTTGTGCAAATTTTAAATTCTTTACATGACGTGCATAATCAAGAGAAAGACCAAGAGCAAAAGCTGTTTGACTATGTTCACCACTACGAACTGGAAAGGATAATTTCGGAAGCCATGATGACAAACGATCAACAATAAGTATTTCTAATGGACGAATATTTTCACGCCATTGATGAATTTCATTGGAGTTCTACAACGAAAAAACAAATGTCTTTTTTTTAAATTTTATTGAAATGAAGAATAAAAAACAAACATCTTTTTCTTCTTGTGACCATTCATCTAATTCCATGGCTAATTGTAATAACCATGCTAAACCATAAGGACGTTCAAATGCTTGACGTTGTGCATTATTTATATATTTAAGTTCAGATTCAAGTTTTTCTTTTGTTAAACTTTGTTTCAGTGCTTGACAACATTCATTTGTAAGATTTTTATCAATACGAGCAAGACGAGCTAAAAGCCAATGACCATGAACAGCTGAATGCCAATCAAAACAACCATAAAATGCAGGAGTTAAATCACGAGGAGCATGAATATCAGCATCTGATGTAAGAACATGAGCAATTTTGTTGGGATATTCTCGATGTACACACGAAAGTGCAAGAGAAGCAAAACGACGATGTAATGATGACATACTTGTATTGTTATCAGTTTTATCGACAGTTGCCATTATGGTTGTTGATAGTAAAATGATTACATTTACGATTTTAAAAGTAGAAAAAGAAAGAAACGTGTGTGATGTTTGATGTAAATACATTTTGATAAAGTGAAGTGTGTAGAGAATCAAAAGAAAAGAAAAATAATATATGCATTCTTATAGTTTAAGCTCTAGTATGTGCTTTTGTTAAAGTTTTATTCATATATTAGAAGTAAATGAATACACAAACAGTTGATAAAATATCCGTTCGAAATCGAATAAATGAAAGAGAGATATATACAATGCGAAGTACTTTCTTCAAATTATCATTTTATTTTTAATTATATTGTAAACTTTAATGGTATCATCATCATTCATAGTAACACCTATTTTAGGCCATTGATTAGCATTTAAAACAATATAATGACTACGCCATTGACGACGGATATCCAAATGCCACCAAATATTTGAAAATGCCATTCCCCAAGATTTTGTTTCAAAAAAATTTAGATCATTCGATGAAAGTAACTCACACGAACGAATATTTTCATATTTAATTGTTTTATCACCAAATGGAAAATAATAGAAATGAATAACTAAATGATCAGAATAACATGTCACGAACCCATTTGAAATAAGAATAGTATTAGAATCATCAACAGATACTGTACAGAATGTTGGTTCAATAAGAAATATCAATCCAAAAATATATAGTAGAAATGTAGTTATCATCATGTTGTTTTTATTATTAGTGAATGTTTGTAAACAAATTTAAATCATTCTATATTATATGACGCATGGTAAATGCATCATATGTATCAATCACCTTTTTATTGACGTCATTAATACGATGTTGAATTTCTATTCAATGTTTTATCTCATACAGCTATTCCATGAGTATTTCTCTACAGTCTTTATCATTGACAAGCTAACAAAAAACAAATATGTGATAACTAAAAAGCTTTATTTTTTTCTATTATAAATATGATTATATAGGTAAGAACGTAAGATTTTAAAGAAAGTCAAAAAATTCAGTTCATGTCGTTTGTAAGGATGTTGATCATTTGTCGCAATTTTCCAAAGCTTCTGTAATTTTACCAAAATCAGGAACTTTGCTTGCATCAGCTAGAACTTCGGCATATTTAACAACTCCTTGTTGGTTAATAACAAAAGCACTTCGTTTCGTAACACCTTTAAGACCAAATTTTGGAAATTCTTCATAAAGTGAATCATATTTTCTTGAAACATCTTTATTGAAATCAGATAATAAATCAAATGGAAGTTTTTGTTCTTCACGAAATTTGCCTAAAGTAAAAAGTGAATCAACGGATATTCCAACAATTGTTGCATTTAATTTTTCATATTTTTTAATATCATCTCTTGCTGAACATAATTCTTTTGTGCAAGTACTTGTAAATGCTAATGGAAAAAATAAAAGAACAACATTTGATTTTGTTGTTAAATCTTTTAATGAAATCTCTTTTTGTTCAGTATTGTATAAAGTAAATTCAGGTGCTTGTTGACCAACTTCAACGGACATTGTCGAATGTTTTTATCTGAAAATATATAAAATAATGTGACTATAACTTACTGTAAGATAAAAGTACGCAACTATCTATATAGTTGAAAACAAATAGAAGAGAAAGAAGAAAAGAAAAAGGATTAGTTTTATTATGATAAGAACTAGTGTCGAATATATAGAATATTTTAATGATACCAGACAATTGGCTTTTATATTTGATTAAAAATATCGATTCATTTTCTTAGGTTGAAAAAGAAGAAATAATATTTAATAAATAAAGCCGAAGGTGATTAACGAATAATAGAAAAGAAAAATAAGGCAAAAAACAAATAACGACAAGTGTGCATCTTCGTTGACGTCGACTATTTTTTCGTTCTCTCTTCTATCACAACCGAAACATTTATCAAGATAAATATGGACGTATTAGTTTATGTAATCGTGGACGAATTTGTTCGATTTTAAAAGAATGTACGAATGATTTCCTTGGATAAAGTACATATATAGTAATTTATCTTTGCAATAACATTCATTCACTATTGACATCTTTGATTAGATACATTTGATTGGTTGAACAAAATGAAAGAGTTGAAAAAAGATATTTGATTTTGTTCATTATTAAAAATCTAATTATTTTGTCAAATGATATTAAATAATATTCGTTTATGCCTTATTCGATATCGATATTTATTAAGTATTGATCGAAAATATTTGAAAATATTCTCAACACCAATTCAATTAAATTTAACGATGAAAAATTTAATAATTTCTCGAAAATATAAAGAAGTTCTTGATTTATTTGATCAACAAATTTCATTACGTACAGATATAACGTTCAATTTAGCTTTGAAAGCAGCGACAAAATTATTGAATTGTAATCGTGGTATTCATATTCATCAACAAGTACCGTCAGAATTGCTGCTGGAAAACTCATTTATTCAAACATCATTAATTAATTTTTACAGTACATAATCATTGAAAAAATATCTTGAAATTTTATTCATTTTTAGTGGAATGTCATTTAATCGATGATGCTAACCGAATCTTTTCAACTATTAAAAAAAAGAATATTTTTCTATATACTGCAATGCTCAAAGGTCATAATGAAATTTCCTTAAAAATTTATCCTAATAATTCTTTTATTTAAAGGTTACATAAATAATAATTTAACAGAAAAAGCGATTGAATTATTTGAAGAAATTCCAAAAGACGAAGTTGATGAAATAATTATAACATTATTGTTTAATGCATGTACAAAACTTTCCAATGATTATTCAATTAAAATTGGAAAAGATGTACTCAATCAATTACCAAAGTCTTTTCTTCGAGATCAACAATTAATTGATACAATTATTCAAATGTTAATGAAATTCGGTGATGTAAAGGATGCTGAATTTTACTTTGAAAAAAGCCCAAACAAAACTATCATTACTTATGCAGTCATGATGCAAGGTAGTACACTCGTTCAACTGAATTTTCAATACGGATCTTTCTTTTTTTTGTCTTCTACAGGTTATGCTAAAAATAATTTCTTTGAAAAAGCATTAGATTTATTTGAAGAAAATTCTTTGAAATTAGATGCAATTATGTATATCATTATTTATAATATATGTGCTTCATTATCTAATCAAAGATCTATTCAGTTAGGAAAAACAATTATTGATAAAATGCCAAAAGAATTTCTAAATGATACGAATGTAGTTACTTCTTTAATGCATATGTTAATGAATTTTGGTCAAGTAGAGAAAGCTGAATCTTTCTTTAAACAAATTAAAAATCCGACTTTATATGCTTATGGAGTTTTAATGAATGGTTATAAAAATAATGATCAACCAGAAAAATGTTTACTACTTTTTGAAGAAATGAAAAAACAAAATATAATAATTGATGAACCAACAGCTCTAGCATTGATTGGCGCATGTTCACAAATTGGTATACATTCAATTTCTCAAAATATTGCTCAACAAATTTCTCATTTAAAAGTTAATCTTCGATTAAAAACTTCTTTGATTAATATGTGGGTATGAGGGAACTCTATTTCTAATTATTATTTGCTTATCTTTGGTACTTTTCTTAGAGTAAATCAGGTGATATTCATCGTGCCAAAGAGATCTTTCAATCAATTCATCAAGGTGATACTCTTGTCTATGGATCAATGAGTAATTATTTAATTATGTTTTTCATGATTTTCTAAACTATATATTTGTTAGTAAATGGATATGGATTAAATGGAATGAGTTATGAGGCAATTGATATTTATGAACAAATGCCAGAAAATATGAAAAATGAAATGACACATATTTGTATTCTCAATGCCTGTTCTCATTCAGGTCTTGTTAATCAAGCTCAAATTATCTTCAATAAGATTCCAATAAAAACAACAAATATTATAACTACAATGGTTAGTTTTTTTATGAAATATTAATCAAATAAACTGTATCATTATTTACTACTTTTAGGTCGACTGTTATAGTCGAATGGGATTATTTGATGAAGCACAAGAAATAATTATGAATTATGAAAAATCAAATCCACCTTATTTAATTATGTATAGTAAATATTTCTTTTATTCAATAGAAATAATCAATAAAAAAAATAACGATTATTTTGTTTTGTACCATAGTGGCTATGTTATCGGGTGCTCGAAATCATCGACAAATCGATTTGTCAAAGAAACTATATGAGCAAATGAAAAATTTATTTCCTAATCAAAAATCAGATCTCATTGCTGCCTCTATTCTTTTATCTAATACATATTCATCCTTAGGAGAAGATCAACAAGCAAAACAAGTTCGAATAAAACAGATTGGTAAGAATATTAAAATTGGTTTATCATGGACTGAAGTTAATGGTGAAGTTATGGTGAGAATATATATATATGTTTCATATTCTTCTTTATTTAATTACAGTGTTTTAAAGCTCATGATCGATCTCATCCACAGTCAAATGAAATTTATGCTGAACTTGAACATTTATCAAATCAATTAAAAGAAAATGGTTATGAATATGATTCATCATGGATAACTCGTCCACTTAAACATGGAGAAACTTATGAATCCGTATTGTGTGGTCATAGTGAAAAACTTGCAATTGCATTTGATCTTATTCAAAAACCTCAACCATCATTGATTCAAATCACAAAAAATCTTCGTATCTGTGGAGATTGTCGTATGCGCATATTCATTTGATTTTTTAATCATATATTGATTTTTATAGATCGTGCAACAAAAATGATTGCTAAGATTCGACAATGTACAATTATTGTACGAGATGCAAATCGTATTCATCATTTTCATACAAATGGACAATGTTCTTGTCAAGATTATTTTTAGTTTATTTTTCCTCAACACGGGTAAGCGTGAATGAGGGAGAGATCGCTATGAAGAAACGTGGCAAATTAAATGATTTTTTATATTTAAAAAAAAATAAAAGAAAATCAAGTTTATTGAAATGTTTCTTCTCTTTGATATTAACCAAATTTATGTAAATGAATATTTTTCTTAGTTAAAACAACAATATCATCGTTATTCCATGGAATAATATCTTCAAGTCGTTCATGTTCATCATATTTATCAGTTTCTAAAAGTTTTCCATCAGCTGAAATATGAAAAAATCGACAATCATCATGATCCATAACTAACCATTGATCTATATCAATTGAACAACAACGACAACGTCCATGTGTTCGAACCGACCAAATATTATCAAATGTTGTTATTGAACGTAATTCAAAACGACTTTCATCTTTATGTTTATTATAAATTGGAATAGCAAGATAACCATTATTATATTTAAGATCACATATAATTTCATCTTTTCCACAAGTGATAGGCGTATGCCATTCTTAAACAAGTTGAAATGATGAATTAAGATTAAATTCATAAATTGATGAACCCCATTCAACTGTTGATAAAAATAAACTTTGATTTGAACATGTACCACGCCACCAATCTTTTTTCGATGGTATAGGACATATTTCTAAACTCATTGTTTTTTCATCAAGTAATAAAATTTCTTTAAATGTAATAATTATAAATCGATGAATTGTTGATGACCAACAAATACCATGAATACCATCATGAGTAAATGGAATTTCTTTAATAATAGTTAAATTTTGATCAAGTAAACATAAATGTTTTCCTTCTCGATCAACAAGTAGATGTTGATCATTTGTACCAATAGCACTTTCTAAACCAGCTTTTAGATGAATTGTTCGATATGAATGAGATAATGGAAAGATTCGTCGTCGTCGAACAATAAGATGTTCATCTATTGATAATGGATGAAGTGTTAATCGAAGATGTTCAAGTTCATTGATTTTAATTTCTGATAATTGAAGATCATGATTTATTATATCATAATGTTCTTTTTTATTATCATGTCGATCAATTAATTGATTTACTTGAGTTCGAAGATGATCTAATTGTTTTTGTTGTTGAATTTGTTTCTTTTCGATTAATTCATGACGTTTATGTTTACAATAATCATCAATAGATCGATATGATGTTTCACGCCATTGTTCAAGTTGTTCCAATGAAGATGGTTCGATAGATGATAATCGATCGATAAGCTTATCAATAGTATCATTCAGATCTCCCACACTCTTATTATATGATGAGGCTGTCATTAGGTAAGAAAATATTTCAAATAGATTTTGTAGTTTAATACGCGACGCAAATAAGATATTTAACTGAAAGAATGACTTTTTTTTGTTTCTCTTAAAAGATAAGTCAGTCGTATATGCTAACACAAAAGACAGAACGATGTACTTAACAGACAAACAACATTTTTTCTTTTTTTTTTATAAAAAAGAAAGATTAAGTCAGTCGAAAAGAAGACATAAAATATCTTTGCTCTTTTCTTTTAAAATAAGCTGTAGAGTTGTATATCAATACTGAATGTCATCAAACATCGAAGTAACAATAAAATTTTATTTCGTTAATGAAAACTAGTATAATTAATACTTTTGTATGTTCACTAAGCATCTCGTTTATTCGAAGATTTATTCAAAAAAAGAGATTGATTTATTTTAAGTTTCATTAATAAAACAATAATCTGGATTTTATAATAATTTTTGGAATCGATACTTTGTCTCTAAGTGAAAAATGTCGCACTGAGTCGGTTAAATTTATTAATAGTTATATTTTTAGTAAATATGTGGACTTGTTATCAAATTTCTATGTTGTATGTTTGAATAGAATAAGTAGATATATGTTTCTTCTGTGAGCTACACGGTTAAAATCATGTATGTAAACCCATAAATTGGATCAGATGAAACGTTTGTAAATGGCGGCTGCGCCCTAGAAAAGTATCAAATAAAAGAACACTTATATAATTTATTCCATATGTTCTGCAATGGGATGCTGTTGATAAAAAATGATACGAGAATTATTTTCTTTTCTTTTCTTTTCTCGTAGAGTGATATAGAAGCAAAAGTAACGAAAAGCATATACGTACAGATTTAGAATTTATAATATTGTTTTTAAAAAGGTTATCTCCTATAAATTGATTGGAAAAGATACATGCTTTGAAAGGACACGAGATCTTAAGCCATATGGTTGTCTTAATAATTTTTTTTTCTATATCATATGAATACAGATGCATGGCAGTAACTGAGCTATTTCTGCTCGACAGTCAGATCTAATTAATGGTGATATAAACAACAGTGATGATGGTATATATTCTACTTTTATCTTCAGACAGTTAAATTATTTATTAACTCTGTTGAGTACAGTACTGAACTTAATCGAAAAGTATTACTAAAGATTATAAAAAACTTACAACTTATTTTAATATAAATTATAATTAGCATAATAAAATAATAGAAATATTTATGATGGCATTTTTTAATAGAAAAAGTGTATGAATGCTTCAATAATCATTTGATTTATGTTCCGTCATTGAAATAAAGATGTTGAATTAAATCAATGAAATTGATTAAACTTTCGTAATTCAATCGAATCATCGTAAGTAATATTTAAAATTCCTAACATAAGTTATTTGTTTGAATAGGATGAGCAAGCTTTTCAATGAAACAATCAAGTATACCATTTATCTAGATCTATGTTGCATATGTATACATCTAATGGCTGCATTAGATGATATATTAATCGACTGCGACTAAATTCTAAAATTATATAGTGATATCCGAACACATGAAAATAAATAAAGTGACATACTTTTTTGATTTCTACAATGAAGTGATGATGATGATAAGACCAATATGAATTATTTATTTTTCTTTCTGTACTATTCGCATATAGAAAAGAGAAAGAAAGTATAATAGTAAGAAGTGGGAGAGAAATAAGGCAAATAAAGTAAAGGTCAATTGGTTAAATTAAGAAGTATAAACAAAATGATATATTGTATGAAAGATAAATATTCTTTAATTATACTTCACAACGAAAAAAGAATGAAAAGTTTGATCAATTTCTGTTCCTATTCAGTTTATGATATAAAAAATGGCTTCATGTAATTGACTGTATTGCAAAGAAAGTGTGGATTAAATACGATTTGATGTGAAGCCATTCTCAAAAGTGCCATGGAACTATGAACTAATTTTACATACATTGATACTTCAATTAAAATGAAAAAAATGACTGCTGTATTCATGAAGTTATATTTTGATATATTTTCTCAATTGATAACTATTGAATATTTATTTTAAATAGAGACTTATGAGAAAACCATCTAAACTACTATATATTAATATATTTCATTTTGAGAGACCATTAAACTTTATTCGGTTGTTCTCTACCATAACAAAAATTATCTATTGGATTCTTCAATTCTACAATTACACGGTCAAGCAAAGTCAATACTTTTCTATAATATAGAGAATATCATCTCCAGTTTAAGATTGAGTGAAATATTCTACTAAATATCTTTTCTTGTGCTATTACAAAACGAATACATGCTTTAATCGATAAAATATAATATTCTTTACATTTTGAAATATATTAATAAATAATATTCGAGAGAAATAATCTTTATATATTTTAAGAATATGTTAAACCAGATGGTTTATTTTTGCCTCGTAATCTATCCTATGCAACATCAAAAATTGGTTTATTGATGAATTCAACACGATGATAGTGTATACGAGTACCTATATATGGGTGTGATCGCTGGAGACTGTAGTACCCATGCCCACACTCATACAGATACCCACATCTTTTAGACTTATTTACTCGAACTCTGTGATCTTCAATGCTTACATAATTAATGTCGTGAAAGTCTGCAATAATACGACTCATTTTCGCTCTGATATTTTATACGAATTTATTTCTTGTCTTATCACGCATAAAACAATAGTGTGAAAAGCGTTACAAATGTACGACACCATACTGTAATGCTTCTTCATAAGCTTGAATACTACGAGTGAGTTTGTTTCGAAGATTAGTTTGTTTCGCTGGTTCACGCATGTATTTCACGAGTTCTGAGGAAGGTATTGAACCGCTCAAATGTCGATCTATCTTTAATGCACATTGCGTGATGAAATGATAGTAGCATGTTTGTGCAACATGATCAGCCATACGTTTTCCCACTACCTATGCAAGAAAAGAAAACTTTTAGAACATTTCGTAATCCCAGATTTTGGTTGAGATTCAGGTCGAATATCTTACCTTTGAGTAAGCATGTAGTGCAATCTGGATGTCTATTACAGCTTGCGTTTCATTAGATACAGCTGCATAAGGCGCTGTAGGAATAGTAGTCTTTGCGACTGAAGCTAATCTTACTGCTGAATTGCTAAATAAGGGAGGTAATGTTACTGTTGAAGTGCCAAATGCGAAAGGTGATGTGACAGTTGATCTGCTCTGTTCATCATTTTGCTTTTTATCTTCTTTTTTTAATTTATTCACCGTGTCCATATAATAATGGTTGAGTGTAAACACACGCCGTTCCATGTCTAGAATTTCTTCAACACGTTCCAATACAACATCTTTCACTTCGCCGAGACGTGTAATGATCATCTCTTTTAAACGTTCTTTGAGACGAGGGTACTCGCTATTGAAAGCTTGTTCAAATAATCGTAGCAAACATCCAGACATATACTCATGTATTCTGTTAACCACTGTGTGACAGCACTCAGGCATTTTATGCAGTTGTTTTCGAAAGAGTCCAACAATAATTTGATAACTAGGAAAATTGGGTAGAGAAATACCAGCTGTTCGATCGATTTCACGAAGGACGATTTTATGGTATTTATTAGAGAAAAAATTCGTGAAACTTTTTCGACATTCATCTTGAAACGTACGTTGTAAACGGTAAATATGATAGCCAATATGATCTTCGTTTTTCTCCTCAGTAATTGAACTATCATCGTCTTCTTCTTCTTGGGATTCATCAGCTTCAACATCATTCGGATTCGTGTCATCGTCAGCAACTTCTGCATATGTGCTGGGTCTTTCGTCGAGTTCCATCGAGGCAACTTGGTCGTACTCACCTTTGACATTATCATGAATACTTTCTCGATAGTTATCCACCATTGATTGAAAACTTTTCCAGCATTCTGCTTCGGTATTCATAGAAGCGGGAATCTTTTTCAGACGAGTCGTTTTTTCGGCGATTTTTTTTCTTAATTCTTTAATTATACCTGGAAATGTTGAACGAATACGTTCCTGTTGAATTGTAGCCAGACGTCGCACTAACTGTTCACTACCTTTAAATTCAGCTGGTAGATGTTCAAATGCTTCTTTATGTTTGACAAAGAATTCCTTTTCGCGTCGTTTCATCTCATCGAAGGAAATATTCTGATCGATTTCGTCTTGATTTCGATTGAGAACGGCAACGCAACCCAACTGGAGATCCATCGAACCTGATCCACGACCTTGTAATTTTTC